TATTTTTTTATATAATTTAATTATATAAAATTTTATTTTTATATTATATAGACTAAATAACATTATTTTAGTGTCTCTCCAACAATAGAGTTTCCGTGCTTTGGATTATCGGTGTCTAGAATGGATAGGCTCTTTGTTAGAAATCTCAAATTTTTTTGGTTGTGAAGGGATATCTAATTTCCAAAGTAATGTTAGAATTTATTTATTTTTGGCTATGCACAATCCTTCCGGTTACATTGTAAACTTCATTTAGCTGACAAAGAAAATTGATTAGCTTGCTTAGAGTATGGTTTTATGATAGCTATAAGCACAACTCCCATAACTAAAATGTAATATTAGGTTGAGTTGCAACACAATTCTACTTCTTTCCACATTATACTTTGATTTTCGCTACATACGAATTGCAAAACAATTTCATATACATGATATATCAAATTTATTGTTATCAATAAATCTTGTGTGTCCCGTGCATTGTGTTGTATATATAAGTATGGATGATACCAATTTCTTAAATATCTTAGTTTTATTAGTAAAGTTGTGAGATGTGAATTCTTTACCATGAGTTAAGTGTTATTTATATTTGATTCTTGTATTTTATTTTGATTATTCAAATTAAAAAAATATATTTTTTAAGTAGAAGGGTGTCACGTATTAAAATTTAAAACATCTAATAAAAAATGGCATGTTTATGCAAGACTACCGAAACCTATAATTTTTTTTTTAAAAAAAAAGACATAATGATGAAGAGATTAAGAGTGTGTTTATTCAATTTTTTTCTTCTAAAAAAGCGTTTTTTTAATAAAATGAACAGTTTTCTATTTTTTTTATATGCTTGTTTAATTTTTTTTTTTATTTTAAAAATATTCTTTTTTTACTTCAATCAACAAACAAATTTTATCTGTTTTTTTTTAATTAAAAATAATCTTTTAAAAACAGTTAAAACTTTTTTTTTAATTCCTATAATTTTATTGACTTTATTTTTCATCTATATAATTTAAGGTAGAATTTTTTTGTCGATATACTTAGATAGTTTAAAACTCACATGAACCAATAATAATACAATATATTTTAACACACAGACATATGAGTTATTGAATGGAATAAATCTAGATAGACTTACTCCATTCAATAACTCATATATATATATATATATAAATAAATAGTTTACTCGTCAACCGTGTCCGTGTACATATACAGTTGATTACTATTTAGGGGTATTCAAATTGTTAAATTGAACTAAACTAGAAGAAAACTAAACTAAACTATAATAAATAGTTCATCAAACTAAATTGAACTAAAATAAATATTGACTAAACTAAACTAAACTATTATCTACATTAGTGCACTATAGTTCTAGGAGTTTAAACTAAACTATAATATCAACTAAATAAAACTATTATTAACTATAAACTAAATTGAACTACATTAAAAAAAATCAACATTTTTAAATTGAGCTACTAAATCATTGATATTAATTATGAATTAACAATACTATAATTTTTTTTATTACATGTGATTTTTCCTGCGAATTTTTCATAAAAATTTGCAGGAAACGTTGTTCCTACAAATTTTTTTTGCGACATTTTATCTACAGGTAATAACTTCGTGGATAATATGTTTTTGCGAATTTTAAAATTTGCAACAAATTTTTCAGCGAAATTTCTTGCAAAAAAAATTGCAGGAAGGTTTCCTGCAAAAAAAATTGCAGAAAAGTTTTCTGCAAAAAAAATTCGCAAGAAAGTTTCCTGCGAATATTTTTGCAAGAAATTCTGCAAGAATATTTTTTACGAAAAAAATTAAAGAAATTACTAATGATCACAATGAATTTATCCGAAGTATTTGTTTTCACGCCCCAACATGTGATATATAATCTTTTAAATTCTAAGATTGTAGATTATAAGCCTAACACTCAACCATACAAATCAACTTACAAGGTAAGTGTTGCCCAAACTCATATATTCTTTAATTATTTTATTTTCAATTGATGTGGGACTTGAAGTTTTTTTTAAATATTAAACTTATAAATTTAAATATTTTTTTGATTTTTCTTGCAGATTAAAATTGACAGGAAAATCCGCAGGAAAAATTACCTGCAAAATTTTTCTACCATTTAGTAAACATTACTTGCAAATTTATTTTTGCAAGAAAATTTGCAAGAAACAAAATAAGATTCTTACAATATTTTCTATAAATTTTGACCATGGAAATTTTTTTTCTATGATCATTAAAATTGTAGCAAAATTTGCAAAAAATTTCTTGTAGATTATTTTTCATAAAAAGATTTATAATGAATCCCCTGTCCCTTTTAATTTGCTCGTGAACAGAGCCATATGGACTAGTGACAGTGGCAGCGATAGTGAAGTAGATTATGAAGCACACAATTCAACAAGCACACTTCATACTGCCACCCAGTATCAAATCATATCAAGCACGAGGGTGAGATCAAAGTTAATTAATGAATATATGTTCTTGAATTGAAGGGCTTATCATATTGTTGAATTGTACGCTTTATTATTAATTTATTTGACTAAATTTCCCATTGGTGTAGCAAAAGATAGTTATAAAGGTGCAAATGCACTGCAGCAAATGCCAAAGGAAGGCCTTTACAATTGCATTAATTGCAGATGGTACATTTGTTTTGTTGTATTAAAAGTACTAGGCTTTTCAATTACTTCATGACTTAGACAACTAACTAGCTAGCTATATATATCTAATGGTCCTAAGTAAATGAATGCGCAGGTGTGACTTCGGTGTGCCTTCAAGGGGCAGAACGAGATCAACTGGTGGTTACCGGATATGGGGTTGATGCGGTTGATTTGGCTAGGGCGTTAAGGAAGAAACTTCACCTTGCCTACATCTTAAGTGTGGTAAAGATCTAAAGAAAAAAGGAAGATGAAATTGTTGCACGAGGTTTTTCATTTCAAAGCTCAAAATTGTCTTCTCAACTAGCTAGTACGTGTTACTACATGCCCATATTGGTTTAAGGATTATTGTTAGTCTTGGCCATGTGGAATTCTAAGTTGGTTCGTTGTTAAAGTGTTTTCTTTTCCCTAAACAAGCCTCTTATGTGTTGAATAATCAGAAGAATAAGGAACTTTTATTTTGTCAGTTTCATATTTTGTTGCTGGAATCTTAAATTCTCTAATAGCTCTAACAATTTAATGTTTTCATTTCCTCCTAAATCCTCCAAAGAAGTTGATGATAATCTTTTTGAGGAATGTGGTGCTATGTAGACTCAGTAACTTATTCAGGACAGTCGCCATGCTAGGATCCAGAAATCTGTCGACGCTGTCATGGATCATTTAGCCTCCATGACCACCCATAATTATAAACCCTCTGTCTTGTTTTTACCTAGTCAACCCATCCCTGTTCGGATCTTTATATGTGCGATTGAGATCCAAAGAAAATATAAAAGTTTGTGCTTGAGAAAGGATAATGAAAATGAGAGAAGGATGAGATGAAAAGTTTTGTGTTCCGTCAGTGTGGTCGGTGCTTGTATGTCGAGAGTGGACGTGTGGAAGTGGAATTTTTCTTTTTCTTCTTCCACATAGATGCTATTATTGAGACCTAATAATTTAAAGTTGAGATTTATTATTGGGTCAAAGTGTAGTATGTACATGCTGTTGCTTCTTTTACATTAGAACAAGTGGACTGTAAACACCTTTTTAATGAAAAATAAAAAAATTACTTCCTCTAAATTTATATAACAAAAAATCTTAAATTTTTTACTCTAAAAACAAACAAATTTTTTTAATCAATTTTATTTAATACTCTTAATTCAAAAATACTTTTCTTATAATAATAAAAACATTATTTATCATCAATGTACTTAAAGATATTTTAAGAAATGTAATATATATATATTATATAAAATTATGAAAATTAAATATATTTAATAAATTATTTTAATAGGTTGAAGGAAGAGAAAGTATGCGATATAGGTTACCTCCCGCTGACCCTAAAATGAGAAACAATATAAAAACAACTCCTCTTTTTTCATAAATGAAAACATAATGTTTGAATTACTTTGATAACTCGAATATTTTAACTTCAAAATCGCTTTACCCCTCTTTACATTATTATAATTTCTCTTATTATATATAATCTTTGATGTGAATTTTACATAAAAATTTATAAGAAATGTAATTTTTATGAATTTTATCTTAAATAATATATTTTTGTGAATTTTAAAATTCATAAGTAATTTTTGTACAATTATTTTGTTGAATTTCTTGTGTCATTGTCTTTCAAATATTCATAATAAATTTATCCGAAGCATTAATAAGTTGCTTCCACACCTTTAACATTTTATTCATAAGTCATAATCTCTTGAACTTTTAGAAGCAAAAATGAAACTACAATTTCACAAACTGAGCAAACTTTTTTTTTCTTCTTTTCCAATTGGTTGGAACCTACAAGTAAAAGATCATGAATGATTATTGTAAATAAATTTTTTTAGAAGTTCGAGACAATTTTGTTAAAGAATGCTTTTAGCATGAAATACTTTAGTACATGCCTCATTCGTATACTACTAAATTGACTTGTTATAGTCGGTTTTAATTGAATAAAATAAAATAAGATAAATCATAAATAATTTTAATTTATAATAAATTAAAATCTAATGCATGAATTACGATTTAGGAAGATGATTCTTCTTATGGTTCAACCCAAAAAGTATCCATTGGCCTAAACTCAACACTACAACTCATGGCATCCAGCACAATTAAGAATAAAAATTTATAATAAATACAAAACCAATGAGACTCAAAACTTATAATTAATGTCTTATTTCCAATCAATTTATAGAGACAAAATAATCACTCAAATCAGACATTGTAAGACCCGTAGGATTTTTTTTTTCTCTCAACCCCCTTCCTCTCTAAACTCTCACTCCCTCAATTCTCTTATCTCACTCTCAATCCTCCCCCTTTTTCACTTAGACCTTCCTTTTCCTGCCTACCCACACTAGAAGTCGGAGTCACCTTCAGAAACACGTGCTCCCCTTCGGCAAACTCCAAAGGCTTCCTCCTCTTGTCAGCATACGACTTCTGCCTACTCTGAGCAGTCTTCATCCTTTCCTGAATCATCTTCACTTTCTTAGTGGTCAGTAGGATTAGCTCCGGACCTACCACCACTGACTCACCATCCTGGTACCAGCACAGAGGAGTCCTACATCTCCTAGACTCAAAGGAGTCCCCGCGCCCAGCGCGACTAAAATCGCGCTCAGCGCCATGCTAGAAGCCCAAAATCAAGTCACGACCGACATCGCGCCCAGCGCGGTTCAACCCTCGCCCGACATGGGTCATCCATAGGCAAATATCTTCAAGCACGCCCGGCGCACACATCTTTGCGCCCGGTGGACTTGCCTAAATACTGCCCTCAGGTGACCACGCGCCCGGCGCGAAGAACTGCGCTCAGCGTGAGTTCAGCAGAAAGCCTCATACTTTCGAAAATCTCTTCAAAAACCTGCAAAATAATCAGGAACTCCACATGCAATCGGTTCAAATTTCCACATTTCTATCCAATAGTCCAAAAATGCAACATTTTCACACATGCAATCACGAAATCACAAGATCCTCAAATTTCCTTATCACCCCAAACAAAACCCAACAACCCCATTTCAGAAAAACTCAACCAAGAATCAATCCATCATAGGCCACTAAAAGAGTCCCTTGACTCGTTTCAGCCAAAAGAAAAGCATAAAAAATTACTAACTTCCCTTACCTTGGTCTCAAAATTTTCGAGCTCTGGGAGGCACAAGGAAGGAGAAGCTTGAAAGAGATGATGAATGAAGACGGAAGAAGAACTCCGTGCATCCGCAAGCTCCTGGTTACTTACTCAGCACCTTGAATCCAAGCAACAAGAATGAGATTAGCCAAAAAGGGAATGGATGGGAAAAGAGAGTGAAAGGGAGGGTTTTTGAGTGAGAGTTTGGAGGGGGAAAAGTGTTATCAGATATGGGTCTCACAACCTCCCCAACAACAAGAGTTTTCGTCCCCGAAAACAGACTTACTTGGGAAAAGAAACGGGTAACGTTCCCTGAACTGCTGTTCTACCTCCCAAGTAGCTTCACTAGTAGCTGTATCCCACAATACTTTTACCAGAGCAATAGACTTTCCCCTCAACTCCTTCAGCTTATGATCAATTATAGCTACTGGCAACTTCTCATATGTCAGGTTCTCCTTTACTTGTACATCGTCTAGTTCCACCACATGACTAGGGTCATGAACGTACTTCCTCAGCTGGGAGACATGAAATACATTGTGCAGGTTTGAAAGGGACGGTGGCAAGGCCAGCCGATAGGCAACCGAACCCACACGTTGTATTATCTGATAGGGACCCACGAACCTCGGTGTCAATTTCCTTGCCTTTAGTGCCCTACCCACACTAGAAGTCGGAGTCACCTTCAGAAACACGTGCTCCCCTTCGGCAAACTCCAAAGGCTTCCTCCTCTTGTCAGCATACGACTTCTGCCTACTCTGAGCAGTCTTCATCCTTTCCTGAATCATCTTCACTTTCTTAGTGGTCAGTAGGATTAGCTCCGGACCTACCACCACTGACTCACCATCCTGGTACCATGTGCTATGCCGGGCGTAGTGACCAGTCGGGTCGTTACAGACATAATAATGCAAACAGAGAAAAATTGAGAAAAAATAATAGAGTTTTTGAAGCATTCATAAAACACAACAGCCATAGTTTATGATTGTCATATGTGGTGTCAATAGTTTATGATTGTCATATGTGATCTCTCACTCTCGACCCTAGTAGTGGTAGCATCGCTTGCACCCCAATCACCATCTCCTCTTTTTGTACATTTTATCTCTTCCCTTTTCTTTTTAGCAAAGCAGTGCTCTACTGTATACAATCATTTGAGACCATTTTCTTCTTTTCTTTCTTTTTTCTTTCCCTTCCTTTCCCTTTTCCTCATACTCTACCAGCACCACTATTGTGCATTTGCTTCCATAAACTCGTTCTTTTCTTCTCCCTTTTATTGCTCTCTATCTTTGGCTCGTTCACTATCTCCCTCTCCTCAAGCCATGGAAGCTCTGCATCTCACCTATCCTGCCATGATGTCCGAGTCAGAAGTCCCATTACCATCGATTGAAGGGTTTGGGAGTTAAGGTTTGGAAGAAAACCAAAACCTCTCGATTAAACATGAAATATTAATTAATTTTATTTAATGATACATTAATTATATTACTTGTAAATAAAAATATCAAATTATTTAATTAAAATCTCTAATTACTTGTCACAAATCTCAGCTACTCAATTTTTAAAGTATATATCCAATGATAAAAGTTACTACTTCACTTATGAGTCATCTAACTAGGTGTTTCATGTTAGAAATTTCGCTTGTATAGAGTCAAATAAAATTATTATAAATGACAAAAAAATTTAGTAACTTCGTATTTAATATAGTTAAGTGTCTAGAACTCATATAAGATAATTTATTATGCTAAAGCAACTTCATGTCCATTGCTCCACACGCTTAGAGATACATTGGCTATGTAAGATTCTTCATGAATCATTAGTGCGTACCATCTAGATGGTGGTTCAACCGATAATTCAAAATTCATAAAATAGAAAAAGATCTAGATAGATATAGATATATATATCGGTCAAAAAACACCTTCAACAAAAACAAAATTCAAAAATGGAATTAAAACCCCGTCTTTCAAAATTCATTTCGTTAGGAGATCTTCTAATGAACCGTGTCAATATTCTAATTATTAGAATATTACACTCTTCTGTTTTCTTTCTTAATTATGTCTGATTGCTTTGTTCGACAAAAAATACAATAATTATATTATAGCAAGTATAGTTTAGTGGTAAAAATGCGATTTATTTGGATAGTTTTGAAACAGGTAATTATATGATTACGTGAAATACTTAAACCTTCATTCACGAAACTTGTAGCTAATATACCTAATTATTTAATAATTCTTTGCTAAATGGAATATTAATATTCAATATTCATTTAAGTTTAAGATTAATATATAATATTTTACATATTCTTAATATTAATTAAAATTTGTTGAGTGTCGCTAAGTTATTAAAAGAAATATATTCTCAAACAAACAAATAAAATATAATAACTCAAATAAATAATCTAATATAATGTAAAGACAAATTTCGTTGAATTAAGGAATTAGGTTCTTTGTTTAAAAGAATAAATATTAGAATATAAATAATATTTTACATTACAAAAACAATAAAAAAAAAAAATAACCCTCCTCTCCGTAAATATAAATTCTCAAACAAGTTCAAAACCACCCCCCTAACACCTTCCGCACATGCCCATCAATGGCTTCACATTGAAAATTCTTAGTACCTTCCTAGTTCGAATCAGATCAAATAAGAATATTATAAAACTATAGTCTCCTCCAACTCTATGTATATACATACATATTTTAATCAATAATAGTTAATTACTTAACTCCTTCATGATTGAACTCTAAGCTGCACTAATTTAAAGGCAATAATAATAAGGCAAACACCCCATATTTTGACGTACAAAAAGAAAATTTACAAAAAATATGATCTCAATTCAATTGATCATACAACATATGTTTTTATTTTTTATTTTTTTATTTTTTTTATCAAAAAGACTACTGATAAACCAATACTATTACATAATTATGGAGAAGGCATCAAAGTAAGAGGAG